GAAATGATGAGGAAATTGTTCTTCAATGCATCAAGACAACGCCCATGGCATTAGAATTTGCAAGTGAAACTCTGAGAAATAATCCAGAAATTGTGAGAGTAGCTTACAATTTAGATCCAAAAGTTGTGGAATTTACTGATCTTGTTTCTTTTTAAAGTGTCCAAAGATGCAATAAAACAAGATTATGTAATATTTACATCCAAAAAAGATAAAACTGCAGAGAACACTTCAGGGTTTTCACAGCAATCACCATCCATGATCCTGGCCTGCAGCTTTCGGCGTCGTCGTATTTATTTGCTGTATGATTGCTACTGAATGATTAAACTCATCATCTACTCGATTAGTTTTATTGAAAAAGTTGTTTTAACTTGTGGTTTCCAATATTTGAATTTTGTTTCCAAATTGAACTTTCATTGAGTCTATTGAAAACTGTTGAAATGGATCTTTCAAATCTCAAGGTTTTTTACTAAGTATTGAAACGCAATTTCATTAGATTCCGTAAGATTTTTGATTCTCTTGACTTAAATCTCAATAATTTAATAAAAATCTGTAATTGAAAAAATCAAAAATTACATTTAAAAAAAAATGTCTGAAAGCAATCAAGTAAATTTCCTTCCAATTTATTTTAAGAAACTTTAATATCATCTTGTTTTAATAATATATTAAAATTATTTAATATTCTTACTCTTTAATAATGAAATTACAGAAAATTCTAATACTCGATGGAGGTATTTCTACATACATGACAGAATTAGGACTAGAATTGAATGGTTCCTTGTGGGGAGCAAATTATTTACTGGAAAATCCGAAAGCCATCGCGAAGGTACATTCCGATTATGTTCATGAGGGATTGTGTGATATTTGCACAAGTAGTAGTTATCAAATTTCTCAGGAGGGACTTGCTGCTGATCATGTTTCAATGAAGGAGGAGGAAAGAATTGAATTGGCCAGTAGGATGTTTCGGGATTCTGTTCAGATTGCTAGAAAAGTTGTTAGAGAGAAGGAGAAATTGGTGGCTGCAAGTGTTAGTTGTTTTGGAGCATCAATTTCAAATTTACTTGGAGAGGCAAAGGAATATTTTGGTGATTATTTGGATAAGGATGTTGATTCAAATAGTGGACATTATGTTCACAAGTTTGTGAAACAATTGAGTGAAAAATTGGGTGAAACTTTGGAAAAATCTGGAATGGAACAAGTAATTTATGATTTTCACTATCCAAGAGTGAGAGAATTGATATTGGCTGAGCCAGATTTTATCTTGTTGGAGACAATGCCTGTTTTGAAGGAAGTTGAAATTTTATGTGATCGAGTCATTCCAGATATTTTGAAGGAGTTGAATAAGAAAGGTATCAAAGTGATGATATCATTCTATTGTAAAGATGGCTTACACACTGGACATGGAGAAAGTATTGAGAAATGTGTCGAGTATGTCAATCAAGATAGGTTTAATCCATCATTATTTGAGATTTTTGCTGTTGGGGCTAACTGTATTTCTCCATCTATAGTTCCAATTTTAATTGAAAATATTCACACTCATCTCAGAAAGGATATTTCCATCATTCTCTATCCTAACAGTGGTGAAATTTACGATAATCTCACAAAATCTTGGAGCATACCACAGGGTGGATTGGATTGGCTTTATGATAGAGATTTTATTCCATTCATCAAGAAATGGAGTGAAAACCATCCAGAAAGAAAGTTG